CGCGGCCCGCGGTCCCCGTACGCGGCGCGCACGCAACTTTCACGCGCCCCTCCGAGCAAACGAGATCATCTTTCGATCCGCTCTCCCGGATTCAACGAATTTCGAAACGAATATCTCCCCTGGCAACGACCGCTGCACGGTTTCGTTTCATTTTTTTTCCCCCCTTCCTCTCGAAAATAAAGTGGTACGCGCGCGTTCCGCGGCGAATTTCGATTATTGATCAATCGACCGGAAGAACTCGGCGCAGCGGACGTCGAGCGAGTGCCTCCGGGGCTCGAACACTTTTCAAACGTCGGGAAATTGTTGAAAATGAAACATTAAATTGTACGCTCGAGTCTTATACGCTGGAAAATGAAGGAAGCGTGCGTCAGTCTTTGAATATTCAAGTAAACAAGTTCTGCGTTCGCAACTTTCGATTTGAAATAGTTTCCATTAGGATATTCGAACTGGAAGAGTCGAAATTTGGAAATTTTAGAATTTTGGGAGGGTTCTAAGATTTGCTGAAGCTGAAAAATCACGAAAACCGTGAGAAGCAATCGAGCTTAGAATTCAGTAGAACTACCAGATAGCTCAAACCAACTCATTCGCTCTGCCCAAGTCCTCTGTTTGCAATGATTAAAACAATAACAAACGTTTCCTTGAGAAACAATAGAAATCGGTAAATCGAGATCGAATGAGATGGAAACAATAGAGATCGGTAAATTCAGTAATCCAACTGAATCGTAAATCAAAGTCTCGATAGGTTCGATCTTCCGATTTCCACAGAGAAATTCCAAAAAGTCAAGCTAAGGATAGTTGTAGCGTAAAGACGCAGAACGATGCATAAAACGATACTATTTCCCAATCACGATCAGCCGAGAGCACTCGAAACGCACACGACCGAAGGGTTACGTAACTTTCGAAGCCGAACGGGAGGGCTGCCCGCGTGCACGGTCAATTTCCGGCAATACGCGCGTGTCCGTTTATTAACAGGCCCGGCGAGGAAAACACTCGTATCCGGATATTCCGATCCATTGCGGTTGGAATCGCTCCAAGAGGCCCGGGGAATCGTAACGGAGGAAAAACGTCGATGGCAACAACGCTCTCGCGATCCTCGCCGCTGGAAATGGCCGGCTCGCGCTCATAAGACGGCACGCTGCACGCTTTCATTCGGTCGGTTCAACGTCAACATCGCCGACGCTGATTTCCTGCCCATCTTTAACCTCTTGTCGAAGATACTAAATTAACACTAGAACTACCGAGCATTTAACACGATTAATATGGAATTCCTATAAAAATTGTAACAGTAGATTATCTTCAGTTTCTTCAGACATTCATTATAGTACTCAAGTGGAACTATTTATTTTCAGAATCATTTCGAATATTCAATGCTTGGAAAATATCAATAATTGCTAAAGAAAAAAATTGAACCGGTCATTTTGACTGATACGGTAGTTCTAGTGTTAAGCGAGCGAATCGAAATGAATAATATCCGTGATCGTAATGTGTTTAAACAGATAACAGAAACTTATTAAATTTACCAGTAACCGAGTTGAATCACGAGTCAATCGAAATCACAATAGCACCGTCAGAGTTCCGGTAGAAAAATTCCAAGCAAGTTCGACTGCTCGGCAGTTCTAGCGACATCGATTTTACAATGAAACGCGTGAAAGTTCCTCGAAATTCGTCGGAACTCGAACTCGTCCGAGCGAGTGTCGCTGACCCAGATGTCCGAACCGTTTGCATTCCGTGCGTTACCCTCCGGATTCGATAACAATGCGCAGTCGTTGTAATTCCGACAGCTTTCCGCGCGAGGAAGACGAACCGGGACTCGAACGCTCGTTTCGGCGAGTCCTCGACTTCCGTCGCGGTATCGTCGCCGCATTAACGCCGACGGAAACGACGAGCGAAGAAAACTAACGTGGGAAAACGGGGGGCCATCCTCTTTTTTCGGGACGATATGCAAATCCGCCGGGAGATAACGTTCCTCCGGCTGGACGCGACTCGAAATTTTCGGGCCGGAAGTCGAGGAATACGGGCGAGAGGCAAGTGCTAGCGATAACTTCCTCCCGTTGACTTTATTTCTGGACTTTTAATTAGCTGATTACCGGCGACTTCTCTGCGGAATCGAAATCCTGGAGAAGTTCCTCGGAGATACACGTTGCTGTGTAATGAAGAATATGTGGAGATTGTTGGATCAATTTGACATTTAACGAAGCAACGCCACCATTATTTTATTACTTATATCACTGTTATTGTAAGATTTACAATTGTGAATTTCTTTTAGGGTTAACCCTTTCACAATCGATTCTAACGAAATATTGACGAATGTCGACATTTTCACATTCGGAAGACTAAATGGCAAACAAATGATTTAATTACTCGAACAGCGAGAGATCAGCACTTTTCCTTTTTTCCTATCATTTAAGCAATTGATATACAATGTAGCTTCATCTATCGAAGGTTTCGTACGTGTCCAATGATCTCCGACCGCAAAGGGTTAAAAATCTCCTGTTGCGAATCGCGCAAGAACTGCCGAAGAGCGAAAGTGTTTTCCCGGTGGGATTGTTCCCTTTGTCCCGGTGACACTGATACGGGCGTTTTTAACTGGGAGAGCCGAGGTGACGGATGAAAGCGCGGCGTGCCGGGGACGGCATAATCACGGCTCGAAGACGGGAAACGTCGAGGAAGGAGACGCTCCGTTCGTCGCGACGCATTCAGATGCAAATGCGGGCAGCGGCGGCTGGCGTGATTTACGAGGGACGGACGTGTCCGTGCCGCGATCAGGACGGGGGAGAGACATTTTCGGTGGCTCGGTGCCGTTCGGATAAGATCTCCCCGGAACGGCCACAATAGTCGCGGGGCTTTACGCGATTGGCCGGATCGATGGAACTCGGCCAGTTTCCTCTCGATCGGTCGCTTTCTTTTGCGTCTGACGATTTCCATGTCCTCCGGCGTCTTGTCCTTCGCCGGAGATCAACGGATTGTGCATTTTTATGTTAATCCCAACTTTTGGGAGTATAATCAGGAAAGCGGGTCGTGGCAGACGATACTCTGAAACGAACTGTGAGTACGTTCGCGACGAGGCTACGATCAAACGGCCGTTGGTTGATCAACCTTTAAATTACGGCGGGATTTAGATGGCTCGTACAAATTTCAACGTACACCGAAACTGTGTACTCTTGCTGTGACGTAAGAAATGTTGCTAGATGTTTACGAGAAACAAATGCGAAATGGAACGAACGGCGGCAGTTGGACGATATGTCATATGTTACTTGTTTAATACTTATGAAAAAATAATAATATTTCGCATACAGTGATACGTCACGATCTCATAAGTTGATCTCGTTGAAAAATCGGCCATTTTTCTAAGAATTAACCGGCACGCGATGTGTTAAGAGTTAATCCAGAGACGATAGATTAATGGATCCGCGAGTGTCGGCGTTCGCGGTCGTTGGGAACGGACCGCAACTTTCGGAGTTGCCTGTTGTTATTGAAATTACCGAAAACTCCAGGAAGTTTCCTATCGACCCACCTGCGTTCGTACATGTGGTCGCTTACAGTGTTGATACAGTGAAAATTAGCAAAGAGCAGATCAACGTTACCATCTAATCATCTAATAAACTACAAATACTCAGTTTGAATGAATCTCCAAGCATCAACATAAAATCCATCATTCCAAAAGCGGAAACTTATTCCTCCATCTCTCTCTCACACCAGCTAGCAAATACCACAGCCCGCTGCATGCTCCTAAACCACCCCAAAAGCCACTGCTCCAGCTGAGAACGGCATCCGCGAAAAGAAACGTCGCCCGTTATTACAACGTCGCGTTACCGTTTCCAGCAGCGACGCTATAAATAAAGTGTCGCTCGAAAATAAATCGCGAGGACGGCGCGCCGCTCGCTTGCGTGCGTGCGTGAGTGCGTGAGTGCGTGCGTGCGTGCAGGTTGTCGCGAGTGCAGCCCCGCGACTACCGGCGTATTGACGCGGCGGATTGTAGGCGCAGGTTAAATCGAGCAGACGCTGGCTGCGCGACGTTCTCCTCTCATCTCGATCCCGTCCGTTCGTTTTCGTTCGTTCCGTCTCGGTTCCTCCTCGCGAACCCGTCGACGTCGGCGACGGAGGGGAACAGGCGGAGGTCCGACGGGGGGAAACCTTGGGGAGGAGGGAGGCCGACGGCAGGAGAACCGGAGGGAGGGCGCAGACTACTTGTTGCGCGTCGCGGCGCCCTCGTGACGCCAATATACACCCCCCGGTGGTCGGCCTCCCCCGGCCGCCCCCGCGGGACGCGAGAGCACGCGACGAGAGAGCGTCGATAGCGAGCCCCTTCGCTGGCGACGCCACCGGCGACGTCGTTACCACCACCCACCCGCTCGCTCGCCCGATGATACTACCACCACCGGCGCAGTCGTCGTCGTCGTCGCGGTCGTGGTCGCCGCCGTTGCCGCACCGCCGACGTCGACTCGTGACGCCGTCCCCGACAAAAATAGACGTGTCGTCGCGACGCAACAGATATCATTCGGCCTCGACGCGACGGTGACGCGACTCGCGCATGGAATTCGAGCTGATCTAACGGTGATCGGTTCTTTCGGTTCGTTCTCTTTGCAGGAGGATCAGAATGTTCTGGGCTGAATGTACTGGAGAATGGGAGCTTGGGTTATCCGAATAGTTGATGGAGTAGCTATAGTTACTCGTAATGTAATTGCTCTCGAATGTCCTCGAGTGGATGATCGGTGTATCGAAGTACGAGTTGAAGACTGAAGTTCCAAAGAACTCGCGCAGAGGGTTAACTGTAATCCTTTGCACTCCAGAAGTTTTTCACCGGAAATATTCAATATTTTCTAATGAGGTACAGACGACATTTTCTTAGATTGAATTAAGAAATCTATTTTTCTTCAATATTTCGTACTTAGAGGCGCCTCTGGAGTGCAAAGGGTTAAAAGGTCGAAAGGAAGTGAGCCACGATTGAGTGGACCGCGAAAGGGAAGCTCGAAGCGCGACATAGACTAGTACGCACTTACCTGAATCTGATGCCCGGGGTTGTTGATGTGTAGCTGCTGCGCCTGGTTGATCTGCAGGGACGAGGTGCCGGATCCCGAGGGAGGCCGCGGGGGTGTGGAGCTGGTGAAGGGTGCCTGGGATCCGGTCTGGTTGGGTCCGGCGCCCTGCGAGCCCCTGGGCGGCAGGGGGTAGCCGGGACTGCCGTGGTTGGGCATGGATCCCGGGCTGCCGCCGTAGGGCGAGTACTGCTGCTTGTACCCGCCGCTGGGTCCAATCATGCTGGGCTTGCCGCCGGCGGCAGGCTGCGGTCTCTTCATGTCCGCCAGTCCAGCGGCGAATTGCGTCTGCGAGCCGACGAACATGTCGGTCGTCTGCTGGCTCTGGAACGCCGTGGTCCCGTTGTTCTTATGATAAGAGCCGGTGCCGGAGGTCGCCTGGGACTGGGCGCCGGGCGGGCCGGCGCTGCCGGGGCTGCCAAGGTAGTCCGAGGTGCCGCCGAACTGCGGGAACTCCGCGTAAGGGGACCGAGCGGTCGGGCCCCTGGCGGCGGCGGCCGCGGCCGCGCCGGGGTTGAAGCCGAGGCCCAGCTGCTGGCTCTTGTGCTGGTGCTGCTCGGCCATCTGCTTCAGCGTCTGAGCCGCGGGGCTCATCTCCGACTTGAAGTCCAAGCTGGAGTAAGGCAACCTGGCGGGCGAGTACTGCGCGGAGCCGAGAGCGCCGGGGCTGGAGTTAGCTGGCAGGGAGCTGCCGTTGTTGGTCGCGGTGCCGTTGTTCACGCTGTTGTTGTTCGCGTTCACGTGCTGCTGGTGCAGGGCGTCCTTGTCGTCCTCGATCTTGATCTGCCCGTTATTGGTCGCGATGCTGTTGTTGTTGTTGTTGTTGTTGGCCGCGGCCGCGGCGGCGGCCGCCACCGCCGCGTTCGTCGCGAGCGCCTCGACGGGTATCTTGTCCTCGAAGTCGAAGTCCTTCATGAACTCCGGGTGGAAGTCCGAGATCTCGGAGATCAGGTCCTTGAACGCGTCCGAGGTGATGATCTCGTCGCCCGTGTCGTCGCCCATGAAGTCGGAGAACCCGGGGAACCCTGCGCCGTTCGCGGCCGCGTCCTTCTCCAGCGCGGCGGCGCACTGCTCCAGGTCGACGAACTCGTTGTCCGGCTCCTGCTTGCACTCGACCAGGTTACCGATGTCCACGCAGCCGATACCGCCGGTCGCCGCTGGGCCA